AAATTTTCTTATCAGAACGTTATTATGCGAGACATGAGGGAATATTATTGCGTGCTAGTTTGCAGAAATTAGATCTGTATTTGCAGTTTTTAGCGTAGTCTGGAGCAGGGCCCTACTACTTGAGGTCTTGTTGAATAATTGTATGTATCACAAAACAGGTTTTGAGATAGGCTTGAAAAGCTTAACTTTACGCCAGCCGCCTAGACATTTGACTTGTGATTAATACTTGCATTGTTTAGTTTTTGTCTGCCACTATAAGACACAGTGAGGTTCGAACTCTACGCATGAATGCATTAGTGACTTTTAACGACTGTCCTGTAGTAAGCACTATTGCGCTGCATCTAAAACCAAACTGCAGGTTCGTTTGGCAGGATTCAGCCCCTTCCAGTCAAACACTTGTGGCTTAAAGATTGTCTTTCAGCCAGATCGGTACCCCAGAATTAATAAAGCCATCAGCCGGCTGTAGCAGTAAGCAGGTGTTTATTGTAATCAACCGCTACAGCCGAGCGGGTGCCCGAGAGGAAGCGTGTGGTTGGAGGTAAAGAAACTAGCGAATGTCTTACCTGTCCTTTGCTCTCTCTCTCTCTGTTCTCTCTCTCTGTCTGTCTGTCTGTCTCTCTCTGTCTGTTTTTTCGCAAATACTGGTCAGTTTTATAGCTAATATGATTCTTTGTCCTGTCCAAAAACAATTTATCTTCAGTGAGCGACCCTTCTTTGTGTGGGCCACTCGGGAACTCACTTCACGATGCTGGTAACCATCGGTCGAAAATAAATGTCCCGAATCCATTTTGCCGACAGGTGAAACTGCTTTCAATTTAACAAGACCTCAGCTAATTGCTACATTTCACTTTACGAGAGTCGGTTGTAAAGTTCATAGGCCAACCAAGATGAGGTTTATTTTTGCCCTTCACAGACTTCTCCCATCGGTGATACGCTGTTTGGATGCAATTGGTGAAGAAACTTTCATCTTGTTAGTCAAAAAAGTCACCAGCAGCAGATATCACTGTGATATTTTCACTTTGGGGTATAGATGAAAGTCGGTATGGAGCCAAAACAGGAGAATAGGAGGATGATAAACCATTTCAAAAACCACAGTCGTGCACAGTATCCATTCAACAAAGAACTTGTATTTTGGAGCATTGTCCTGATGAAACAAGATCCCTTTCATCAGATTTCCTGGGTGTTTATTCTTGATAGCCTTTTGTAACTAGTACTCCCCATTGATGGTGTGGCCCTTTTGAAGAGGCCACCACCTTTCCTGCAGATGAAACGCCCTTGACCATCTGTAGAGGAGTTGAGGAGGGATGTTTCTACTGAATTAATTATCACTTTGTCTCTGGCCTTTCTGAGCCTGACATTCACCCTGGGTTTCAAGGAAACCAGTTGGATCTGACTCAAATAATTTTTAGATTTTCCCGTGATTTGATCAGCCTGGTGTGCCTTTGATCAGATCTCAGAAGACGTGGCACCCACTGAGCAAAAACCTTCGTCATGATAAATTCATTGTGCAGTATATTGTCACCTCTGTCATAGGATATGCTAATAGCAATGGCTATTTGATTTATAGTCAATCACCTATAATCAATTACCAAGTATTGAACAGGGTCAATGTCTTCCTATGAGGTTTGCAGTTACAGGACGTCGAGACATGGCTTCATCTACAAGACTCTCTCTTCATCTCTTAAATTCAGCTACTCACTTTTGCTCTTTCAAGAGAATCACTGTTAATTGCTTTTGAAGTCTTTGAAAATTCAGATGTTAGTTTATCTGGAAATTTTAAATACACCCTCGTACTTGGAAAGAAACGATACAGTTATTAATTCGAAGAATTAGAATTAATACATGATAGATTTCACAACCCAAGCCTTGCTACTTCGTAGTCAGCCTATTGACTATTCAGCCGATCCCGTACCTGGAAAGAATTTACATTTGCTCGGACTATCATCATCATCATCATCATCATCATCATCATCTTTGTTGCCTTATTTATCACAACGTTTCGGTCGTTGTACGCTTCGGCCTTAATCGGGTGGTTGGAATGTCGAACTGAACTATTTATTTCGCTCACTGGGGTAGACTGTTCTAGTTCCACGTGCCATGTCTAATGACTTATTCTAATAGGAGATATCTGATAACTGACATCCATTAGACATGACACGTAGAACTAGAACAGTCTACACAAGCGAGCAAAATAAAGGGTTCAGTTCGACATTCCAACCACCTGAAGAAGACCGGAGTGTAAAACGGCCGAAACGTTGTAATAAATATGGAAACAAAGATGAGGACAATAGTGCGAATAATGTAAATAATGTACATAATACCTCATCTCAGAAATATAGACAGAAACAGTGCAGTTATTATTCAAGACTTGCTCCTTCATATTCAGCCTCTGAACTTTTCAACACACCCTCGTGTGAAAGAAACAATGCAGTTATTAATAAGAAGAGTTGAAATGGATTCTTGCAAGGTTTCACAGCTCTAGCATAATTCCTTGATAATCAGCTAATGAAATTTTCAGCCCACCTTCGTACCTGGAAAGAAACAATGCAGTTATTAATAAGCTGAGTTGAAATGAATACTTGCAAGATTTCACAGCTTTAGTGCCACTCCTTCATAGTCAGCTTATGAACTTTTATACTCTTATCTTTCTTTTATTTTCATTTTAATTTTTTGTTTTTCTGTTTAGGCGTGAACACTTTTGATTATGTCGTATCTTACAGGTCTTAACAGAAAGGTACATGGCTGCTCTCATTTTTTACTATTGCCTGGTAAGAAAATATGCTATTGTCTCTTTATAATTGAAGGAATTATCTCTCCCGAGGACTGACAACTCTATAGGTTTCGTATGTAGGTTACGGCACGCAACCGGAAGTGAGATGACGTAACAAACAGCTCAGGGCCTCATTTTCGCTTGACCACCTTCTTTCCTATCAAAGGCGTACTGTCAGGCGATTTTGCAAATGTGATTACACGGCGAAGAGGCTTGTTTACGTTAACGGTGTATTTGACAGTTTCAGGTGAAGGCCTGTCGTTGGACCCAGGTAAGTAATGAGATACAATATTTGTATTTAAAAAAGAAACAATTAAGAATTATATCGAAAATCGATTATCCTGAAATGCTTTAAACATTCCAAACTACAACTACACTCGGAAAAAGACAGTCGCATTAACAAACATATATGAATAATTTTTGGTTAATATTCAGCTAATACGACTCTCGAGAGCCACTCAATGTAGTGCTCTACTGAAAGAAGTCTGTGATATGAATGCAAGAGGTGTAAGTAAGAAGTGACGCTTATGTTCGTATGGAGGATATATAACGTTTGAACTGACACCTGAAGAATTTCGTTGGGGTTTTTGACAAATATTGGATCGTTTCTTGGCCTATGGCTGAGATTCGATCAAGGCTCGGACTGGCTCCGGCCTGGACCTGCTAGGACAAGCCATGACCAGCTTTGACTAAGCTCTGACCAGCTTGGACATGCTATGACCAGTTTTGGACCAGTGGCCTTTGAGTGGAAACGCTCGGGTCTCCCACGTTAAACGACCTTGTGTCACATCCTGACCTCGTGGGAGTCAAGTAAATATCACTTACACCTGAAGAGGTCAAGATTTTAGTGAATAGGGAAGCATCTTTCAGGGGTTTTACCAACGGAATACCTAGGAAATATGGATGATTCGACCCCGTGTATGCAACAAGGCGAATTTTTACTGTAAAGAGCTTGAGCTGATGGCACGAAAAAAAAAAAGTACATTTGCGATGTAAATTTGTAAGAATAGAGAGGATAGATGACAATTAATCCCGGACTTGAAGAGGTTAAGATTGTAGCATTTCACGAGGTAGTCAGTTCCGCAAGTCTTACTAATTAACCCATAGCTGGGGAGTGAATTCATGGATTCATACCTACTCATATTTTAATAAACAAACAAGAAATTTTAATTTAGATATGATGTAGGGGATCAATTCTATATTACCACCAATATATAAACTGATCCCTCATTTTATGGCTACGGTAGTTTCTATATATTTATATTCCAGAGAATGTAAATATATCTAAAAGACATGTCCGGTTAGCTAATCAGTATTTTATTGATTGATTGATTTGTGTTTTACGGCTTATCAACCCTTTGAAGTTATTTAAAGCGAGAAATTATAATGTGGATGTAAAGTGGAGGATCAATTCTATATTACAATCAATATATAAAATGATCCCTCACTTTGTGGCCACGATAGTTTCTATACATTTATATTCCAGAGAATATAAATAAATCTAAAAGACATGCCTGTGTAGCTAATCAGTATTTTATTGATTGATTGATTCGTTTTTTTACGGCTTATCATCAACCAAGAAATTATAAGTGGATATAAAGTGGGGGTCAATTCTACATTACAATCATTATATAAACTGATCCCTCATTTTGTCACCACGGTAGTTTCTATACATTTCTGTTCCAGAGAATTTAAATAAATCTAAAAGACATTCCTCTGTAGCTAATCAGTATTTCATTAATTGATTCGATTTCTACGGCTTATCAACCTGTTGCAGGTTATTTAAAGCCAGAAATTATAATGTGGATGTAAAATGAGGGATCAATTCTATATTACAATCACTATATAAACGGATCCCTCACTTTGTGGCCAGGGTAGTTTCTATACAATTATATTCCAGAGAATGTAAATAAATCTAAAAGACATGCCTGTGTAGCTAATCAGTATTTCATTGATTGATTGATTCGTTTTTTATGGTCTATCAACCCTTTTCACGTTATTTAAAGCCAGAAAATATTTTTACGTTATTAGATTATTTTTTACATAATAAAAGATTCAATGATAAAAGTCTTACTATTTAACCCATAGCTTGGAGGAGAAAAACTGAATTCATAGCTTTCTTCAGTGTATTTGCGCGGAAATGAATATAACAAACCCAACGTGAATTGGAACTCCGCTCTCCGATTAGCAATTCCAAGCCGTTATCCATTACACCACCCGCACATCCAAGCTTACAGCACCTAGTATTCGCAAGAGGTCACTCATCTAGGTACTGATCAGGCTCGACGTTGCTTAACTTCGGTAACAGGTATTTCAACGTGATATGGCCATCAGGCGTAAATAAAGTGGGTGTGTCAGCAGAAGACTTTAATCACTCATATTTAATATTACGTTTTATTCAACCCTGACTTTATCAATACTCCCGACCCATGTGTGAGTGTGGTCTAACGGAGCCCTTATCGCATATGTGATTCTTGAATTCTCGTCCTGGGATGTTTGCTGAGAGACTGTATCCTCTTCTCGGGAGCAGTTGTTTATATATTCAACGGTTCTCACACCCGTATATGTCGGGAGCAGCCTTGGGCACGTCGAGGCGGTGTAATTGTTAACAAGCTTGTCTCGCTAGAACAATTACGACTGAGTTGTGAGTTCGATCCTCACTAGGTGCCACCCTACTTTCGGCCTTGTGCCACATCTAAGCTACGCCTGGAGAATCATTTGGGGCACCTCGAGGCGGTGTAATGGTTAACAAGCTTGTCTCGCTAGAACAATTACGACTGCGTAGTGAGTTCGATCCTCACTGGGTGCCCCATACTTTGAGCCTTGTGCCACATATAAGCTACGCTTGGAAAATCATTATATCGGGCGTAGCCTTACGCACAGGTTTTCACCTCTCGGTGTTACCTCTGTTAATCCGGGAATCAGGGATTTCCATCTCCGGTGGGAATCATCTCAGGGCAAATCTGTATCTGGCTTCCCTGATAGTTTGGTGTGAAATTTAAAGCAAGTAGACTACCGATTCTCAGGCTTCCAGAACTATGCCGGATTATCGATTTTTACAAAGTGAGATCACCTGATAATAATTAAATAATACTCCTGTATTAAGCAGGATAATTATTGAATACTCAAATTCAGTGACTTTCAGAATTGTTTTATGTTGGGCCTTGTATCTTCAAAGGGAGCAACCCCGTGGTCTTTCCCCTGAAGTGAGCCCACTGAATAAGACTTGACGTGGAAACCTTGACTCTTCCATTCTTGGAACTTGTCAATGACAGTGTTTAATCATCAGCGATTTGATGCTTTGACAGTTGGCTCTTTCCAGGTGATTGAAATGTCGAACTGAACACTTTATTTCGTTCACTGGGGTAGACTGTTCTAGTTCCACGTGCCATGTCTAATGGATGTTAGTTATCAGTTATCTCCTGTTAATTTTCCTCTGAAAGTTCTCCACTGCCTTAACCTGGTATTGAACTCATAACTGACATCCATTAAACATGGCACGATGGAACTAAAACCATCTGGAAAAATAAACCCAGTGAGCGAAATTTTGGTTGTTCAAAATGATTTTCAATCAACTGAAGAAGAGTTTTTCAATAACTTTTTTTTCTCATAAATATGGCGATAGAGATTTTGTCACAATAGTCCGAATTTGTAAATAGTGTACATAATACCTCATCTCAAAAATATAGACAGATACTGAAGGGCCAGAACGTTTGTAATAAATATGGCGACAAAGATGAGGACAATAGTCTGAATAATGTAAATAGTGTACATAATCATCTCATCTCAGAAATATTCTTCTTTTCTTACTGAAAATCTAAAGTCTATGATAAAAACTGCTGCTAAATATTGTCGATTTATTTAAGATGGAATCATTTATTATGACATGTCTCTAATTTGTCTTTAGATACATTGTATTTGTTCACAATTTTTGCAATTGAATTGTTCCTCTATATTGCATATAATAAAAAAATTGTATTTTATATAAATACTACCTTATGAAAATTGAAATATAGTGGGGTGGGGGGACTCGTATCATTGTTACGGTGGAGATCCACGGGCCCTAGCATCGGCCAAGCCAAGTGACACTATATAAATAAATAAAATATCTAATTTTATTTTAACGACCATATCTTGCTTCAGAACATAGACGGTCGTGGCTCTCCAATATATATATATATATATATATATATATATATATATATATATATATATATTTATGAAATCGACAATGTCCGACAATTATTTTTAAGACATTTTTATGTTTATACATTCTTTTTATAGATACAAATATTTAATTAAATGCTATGTTTATAATAAACAGTATTAACAACAATTATCAGCCTGAATGTCCGAGAAATTTTCTTAGAAGATATGTGTCCTCCGACAGGAATCGAACCTGTATCCTATACGGAACCATCATATAGCCTGACGTGCCTTAACCAATTTGGCCACAGAGATGTTCGTTTAAAAAGGTCGATTTTAAAATCTTTAAACTACAATCTTCTATGATTCTCTCACGTACATTCATATCTGTTCATGGCGTATTCAAATGTAAACAAATGACGTCATAATTAGGAAATGGACAAAGTCCTACAGTTATTTTAAGACATTTTTATAAAAAGAATGTATAAAATTTATAACTTATAATATATATATATATATATATATATATATATATATATATATATATATATAATTCTAATATTTATATAAGTAATTTAAACTAGTAAGAAGTTTGGCGGCTAAAGTGGTAGCTTATTTCTGCAGCAGTAACGAGGGCAAAAACATCATTTATTAAAATAGAAGTCTGGCGCAACATGATCTTTTATATGTAACATTTTTCATATAATAACTTTCTCTTTGTTTCTAAGCATATTTTAATATCTCCTAATGTTTTACTTACTTTCTGAAAGGCATCTTCTGCTAATTTCTTTTCACAGATAATTTAATATAAGAAGATCCTGGCTATAAGCACTAACCTTTTTTTTGTTGCTCAAATAACTTCTGGCATTGCTCACCATTGTTTTGCCATCCATTCATACAATTTGTTAATTAGCTTACTTGCCGGTACACTCTGCTTCTCTTGATTGCTCCCAGTAAGTGTTAAATTCTCCAAGCCTTCTTTCCTTTTTATTTGTTCCAGAATTTTCATATCTCTTACTACTTTACTTAGATTCTGAAAGGCATATTTGGCTAATTTAGTTTCACATTGTGCTGACTATGCGATCAACAATTCCAAACACGAATTATTTTTCAGTCTACAACTCTTTTTACTACAGGCTAAACGTTGCAAATGGAGGTTTAAATCCGGGTTTTCTTTCACCTGGGTTAGTGGTTCCCAAATGGCGTAGCGCGCTCATAGGTGCGGCGGAAGAGGATAGCAGGTGAGGCTGAAAGACTGAAAGTCAATCAAAGATTTAGAAATAGTTAAAAAAATATTAATATGCCAAAAAATAAATATGATTTCAAAATTTTAAATATTATTATAGATTATTTGTAATTGCAGGCATGAGTCCCAGTAAATAGTTATAAATAAATGACCGATTTTATCATTGTTATATTTTTGCATTATATCAAGTATTAAGAATATATTGACTAGAGTCTGCAAATTGGAGAAGAGAGTTATCAATTATAATGTTCTGATTTGGAATCTGTGGTTATATCCCTTTAACCCTCTCTCTCTCTCTCTCCTTATTATCTTAACTTTTCAAGTTATAACATTCATCCTCAAATATGTAAAGCTTAGATGTCACTTTTTAGTTCTGCTTAGGATTTACATTCTCTTGTGCGGATGTGGCAATGTTGGGCAATTCTTGCAGGTTTTACAGTAATATTTTGGTGAATGTTCAAATGATGTTTTAGTCAAAGGCAATCAAGTATTTACAAATAGTTTTAAAAAATTCACGTGCTAAAAAATAAATGATTTCAAAATTTCAGATATTATTATGGATTACTTGTAATTGTATGCATGAGTTCAGTATAAAAAAGTTATAAATAATTATTGACCAATTTTATCATTGTGACATTTTTGCATTATATCAAGTATTAAGAATATAGTAACTAGGGTCTGCAAATGAGAGGAGAGAGTTATCAATGATAATAATCTGACCTCAAATCCATGATTATCTCTTTTAAACCCTATCTCAGTATTTTTTAATTTTTAATGTACTTTTTTTCTATCTTAGAACAATTATTATTCTCAAATTAATTGACCACTTTTACCTTTTGAACTTGATAACCATTTAATACATTTAATGTTAATAACAAATAATGTTGACATTTTTTGTTCATTTATGACTTATAAAGTTTTCCTTTTGGGTTTGATATCAGGATCTTAGTTGCAGATCTTTTAAGTGTTGCAACTTATATGATGTGTGCGATTAAATTTTCTGTAAAGAAAAAACTTGAGTCAAAACACATCGCATAATATTAAGGTTCAAGTAAATAGTGCAATAGAGAGGATAGCAGGTGAGGGGGAATGATTGAAAGTCAATCAAAGATTTAAAAATAGTTTAAAAATATTAATATGCCAAAAATAAATATGATTTAAAAATTTCAAATATTATTATGGATTACTTGTAATTGCATGCATGAGTCTCCATATAAATATTTATAAATAATTATTGACCAATTTTATCATTGTGATATTTTTGCATTATATCAAAATATTAACAATATAGTAAGTAGGGTCTGCAAATTGGAGGAGAGAGTTATCAATGATAATGGTCTGACCTTAAATCCATGATTATCTCCCTTCAGCTCTCTCTCTGTTTATTATTTTTTTTAATATACTTTTTATCACATAAAATTTGGTGAGGCATAAGCAAATTTTCATTCTAGAAAATGTTTCTCAAAAAAAAATTTGGGGAGTCACTGGTCTAAAATGATAATCTTGAGTTAACTTTATTGAATGGCTTTTTCATAGTAAATTTGTCCATTTCTTTTAATTTCTAATAAGTTTACAGTTGCTCAAAAAAACAAAAGATCCTAAAAGTAATGTCATTTTTTTGTTTGATTGTTAATAGCTAATATCGTCTAAAAAAAAAAACAAAAAATGAAATATGTCATTTTTGTTCTTTTGATATTTTTTTTTTGTAATAGGCAGGAAAAATATTGACAAGGGCATCAGTTACTGATAATTATCAGGGGAAATTTTTAAATTAATACTTCAATTACTTGACCTTTAACCTGATCTTATAAAAAAAAAATAGATACCTCTAGTTTAAAAATGTTGTTTCTATTATATTAAAAACATAAAGTAATATCTAACCCAAACAATACAAGTCCAGTGGTTCCCAAACAGTGCAGTGTGCCTCATAGGCATGACAG